GTGCTAGTGTGTTCGATGCACAAATTTTCCACACGAGTCCAGCGAAAGCGGTAGCCTTGAAGATGATCCAAAAGATGATCTGGGTACTGATATGGAGAAAAAAACCTTGTAGAATTGTATAGCACAATACTGATGATGCAACACACCTGATGAAATTTGTGCTATCGATATCCTATTGTAGAAATGCAAAACTTATTTAATTAATCGAATAGTATTTATCATATTTCATCGTATTGATATCTTCGAGTAAATACTTTTTACTTCATTTTGTTGTTAATTAATTTATTTTTTGTCGAATACCAACATCTAAACAATAAATATCAATGCCCAGCATAATGTACGTATAATAATAGCCATAACAAAGAGAAATTTTCATAAATTTAATTATTTACAAGATTAAAGAATGATATAAAATTACAAAGTTATATATGCATGAATAAATTACAACTAATTACAGAGTATAGAATTACAAGTATAATCCAAGGAAGAAAGGGAGCGGAAGTACACATTGTATGGAAAGGGTATTAGAGTAGAAGAAGGGGGACTGAACTGCCTTGTACGTTCAGGGTAGGTTTAACTTTGGAAATGAGAAGGCTCTCATGGATCATAAGCTCGTCAGAGGAAGGGCAAGATGAAAGAATTTTAAAGTCATCATGGGAAGCCGTATGACCAGTGTTGTTAAGGTGTTGAAGAATGCTGGTCAATTTTGTGTTGCTGCTTTTGTTACCTGTTAGAGCTGAGATACTTAAGTATTCAGATACTCGTGTGTGCAAATGACGGACCGTTTGGCCCACATACTGTAAGTCTTAAAACAAGTGGTTTACGTCTAGCCTCGAGGCTAGCTTAGCGGCAATGTGGGTGAGAAATTTAATAAGTAAATATGAAATGCAGACTGTAAAACCACAAATAAGAATTTTCTATGTGCAAAGAAATCAAACAAATCAACTGCATACCAATAAAAACAACTTTACAAAATTAAAACGGTTACCCTCTGCGTCATTACAATTCGGCGTCAATTTGATATAGGTATCTATTCCTTGGTTTGTAGCGAGTCGACTATCTTTACCAGGGACTGCCACCACGTCCCTTTATCAGGTATATAATATACAGATAAACCTCCCCAAGTGGTCTGCGTTACAACATGGTCCTGACGACTATTAGCTGAAGGATCTGTGGCAAGGACCAAATACTAAATAGGAAGATTATAACCAGAACCACTCCTAGATGCTGCCTCGAAACAACTCTTTCTTTTCAAATTGAACATGGCACTATTATCAAGAAACCGAGATTGAGCAGCTGGATCCAGACAGTTGTTGGAAAGTTCCACAAAAGATAAAGTTCCCCAAGACTCGTCCGACTGTAGTACGCTTGTGTCATTAATACATATCCCTGTCTGTATGACATGTTTCACAAAGAAACAAGCAGCACCTGAAACAAAACAGAAGAAAAAATAAAAATAAATAACGAAGTAAATAATGGTCTCCTGTTGCGTTTCTGTGTGGTTGTGTTTCTATGAAGTACCATGTAAATAGATGGTTGTTGATGGAAAAATGTCTTTCACAGCTCATTTATATGACTTATATCACATAAGTATATTTCATTTGTTTAAATATGCATCAAGCTAATTAACTGAACTGATTGGCTGTTTAGTCACTGTGGTGTAGCTACCTTGTAGTTATTCCAATTTCCAAACAGTTATTCTGGTCCATTCTTTAAATAATGACAATGAAGTTTAATCCAATATTTTATATTCAGACTGCAGTGTAGCTTAGATTTTTAATCATTGCTACTTATTAATTAGTCGCTGTGGCACCTTGTACTCAAGCGACTATCGGTTTCTGCACGCATTTTTGGCAGATGATAGAATATTAATGAGCAAGATGGCCGCCGTTTAAGGAGTGATCCGAGTGGTCGCCGGACGCCGGGCAATTTCTATTGCAAACTGTTTCGTTATGTTTATGCAATTTTAAAGTAGGTTTTACGCCAAAGAGGTGAGAAAATGAGGGACACGACATATTAAAATGCAAATAATTTGCAGTCAGGCTCAAAATGAAATTAACAGCACTTGGTTTATTAATATAGATATTATTATGTTTTATTTGTTCTTCCAGATTAACAAGAAGGTAAAATACTTTAATTTGTCTAACGTTTCGGTTTCCTAAACGGAAACCATTATCAAAGACTATGAATCTATTAAAAGTTTTCCGTTACTATCTTGCGTCAGATGCAACCTTGCGAGATTACTGACGCGTGCGTTCAAATCGGTCTGCGCGTGCACGTTCACTAGCTATTAGACTATAGTACGCGCCTGGCATATCGCGGCAAATATTAATGCTGTTGTTTTCGCTCTTGGTATGCCAGCTCTCGAGAAACATTCTTTCGTTAAAGTTAGTAGCAAATTCTAAGCAAGTAGCTCCTTCCCAATTCATTCGATGTTTTGTTGACAAATGATGAACCGCTATTTTGTTGCTTGTATCTTTATTTGCTACGCTGCGCTTGTGTTCTTTAATTCTGCATTCCAGAGTTCTCCCAGTTTCTCCGACATAGCTTGCAGGGCATTCTGCGCACGGTATTTTGTAAACTGCTCCTGTTCGTGATATAACAGGTGATGGATCTTTTATCTTCGTAAGGACATCCCGCAGTGTCGTTGAAGGTTTGTGGGCGACTGTAATGTTGTGGGGTCTCAAAATCCGTGCAATTCTTTCTGATGTGCCTTTGACGTATGGAATGGTAGCAATGACTTTATCGTCCTCATTCGTGTTGGATGCCCCTGTTGTTGTTCTATTGGCTTGCTCAGTAACGCTGCTTACAAAAGGTTTCGAGTAGTTGTTCACGTCGAATACTTTATTCAAGTGTTTCAATTCTGCTTCGAGATCTTCATTTGAACTGGAAATTACGTGATTAATGTGGTTAAGAAAATCAACTTTTTCGTCTTTCTTCAAACTTGTTATCGTGTCATCAACATATCGATACCAGAATGATGGTGGGTTGGGATAGGTTGCTAATGCATTCTCTTCCAAACGCTGCATTACGATCTCTGCTACGACAACTGAGACCGGGAACCCATGGCCGTGCCGTGAAGCTGCTGGTATCAAATAAAACATAATGTTTCAACCTGGATTCAAACCCTTCAATAGATATTATTCTTACAGACGCACTGGGTGCAGTTTTAATTTGGCAAACTGCTTTGATTCACTACCAAAATGTTTCGTTATCTTTGTGGTATATACTTTTATATATATTGTTTGCGTCATATATTGAACTCAGGTACCATTAGCTAGTTAGGTCACATTTAACTCGCTGATTTAACTCCGTAGAGATGCACTGATGTCTGGTATTGCTAGTGTTTAAGTTAAATTTACTACTACTGGTTCCAGTGTCATTGTATAGTCGTATAAACGCTGGCAAATGGTTTATTTTCCCTGAAACGTTCTCGCGAAACTTTAATCTCTTACAGACGGACTGGGTGCAATGCAGTTTTTAATTTGGCAAACTGCTTTGGTACACAACGAAATGTTTCGTTATCCTTGTAGACGTAGTATATACGTCTATATATTGCTTGCATGATATAGTGAACTTAGACACAGTTCATTAGCTACGTCACATTTAACAATCTGAATTAAGACGTTTAGAAGTGCCTGTATGTTCACTTGGGAATCATGCAAAATACTTTTCCTCTCATGAGTCATCATTAGACAGAATTTATATACACATATTACTATATATATTATACTGTATACTATATGACTGTTAAAACAACAATACTATAGCTACATGGTTGTACTTGTTTTAACCATTAGCGCGAAATGCCAGGCAAACTTCAAGAATCAATATTTTCGAAAAACAAATCGGGATTTTTAGTGCTTTACTTGTACTTAAAGTTACCGTTCCATAGTCTAAGCGACTTAGCTAACGCTGCATGGATCTCTTGTTTAGATTTATAATCATTGCCACTTATTATGAGGTTAGGTTTAACACGGAAGTGACTGCGTGTTTGAAAGCACATGAAATATAAATACATGTTGTAAACGACAGAAAACGTACCTTGGAGTAACAGGAAAATCACAGTTTGTATTACAAAATTGAGACGCTTTGAAAACATCTTGTTAATTTGATCGATCATGAGGAAGCACTTCAATTCAAGTACGTGTTATAAAAGCGGAAGAAGAAATGAACCAACGAGGCGAAGTAAAATAACTGAAATATGAAACTCAGCGGGAAGACTGTGGTGTTTTTGAAATTGCAGGAATAACAAATGTCAAAATTCCTAAATCACGTAAACACGGCTATAGATTATGTTTTATACATTTCAGGTATTATGATAACAGTTCAACAATTACTTGGTATTAGTAATCTTCTATTCAAGTCGATCGAAAGAGTTCAGTTTGGTTATTTAACAAATTTATGCTGGCTTATTTCTTATTATCTATATTAAGCTTATTCACTACATAAACCAGACGGGCTTCGTACAAGAGCCCCCTTAAATTCCATTTTCCTTCTGATTAACGTAGCCCTTGTATACTTCATTTAGATGGCTATATAAGTGATCATCATTTTCTTCCTCCCCAGTCTTTTCGAGACCTTTATACGTCGAGTGTTCATTTTCCACTTGTTCATAATTCGCATCATCTTGGATTTTCTCAGGATTTTCATAAATATCTTTTGAATTATTTCTGTCCTTGTTCTTGTTCTCTGGGTTTGCCTTTGATGATTTGAGTCGACGATTTTGATAGATAAAGTAAGCAAGGATAACAAGTGAAATGAGCAGCAGAATTGCTAAAACTATAATTGCAGCAAGAAAGTTTTCAGCATCTTCTGCACCTATGTAAATATTAAACAACGCGTTAACTTTGAATGTCTGAAAATGCACTTCTTTGGATCACGTAATCATTCAAGATAACACATTTAAAACAGAAATGATTGTGTTCTGATTAGGTTTTGGTTTATCAAATTTATGAAGGTTGAATAAGTCGATGCAGTATTACCTGTATCATTCTGGATCAAATTGTATGAGTAGTGCTTTGAAATCGATCTCGGATATGACAAATATATTCCCCAAAACTTGTTTGGTCTTTCACTGTTACAACAAGTAATGAACTGCGGTAAGGCTTTTTAGCGGTTTCTGTGAAACTTTCTAGTGGCTTCTGATCTTTTTTCCAGCTGAAAGTAATTGGAGGTTCACCTTGTGCAGAACACAGTAGGTTGACAAGATCACCTTCCTTTGCCTTTATGTCACCACTGGATATCTTGGTCAGTATACGAGGGCCACCTGGGAAACAGAAAATACAAGAAATATTTGAATATACTGAATACAAGAAATATTTGAATATACTGATAAGGAACATGTTTTCACCAAACAAATGTACTACCATTATTTTCTACGAATAATGGATTTCATCTCGACTGTGTACGTATTCTTTTCTCGTGGCTGTACTATCTAACTCATCTATGAATACAGTTAAATTATTTGCCTGTGTTTACCTGTATATTCGTTCATTTTTGAAGCAGGACTCCAATTTGTGCAGTAATATTTACTCTAAAGTAAAGCAAGTAAATAGAAATTTATCCGCGGTGTTGTTAAGGCTCGTTTACATTTGCAAATTTTGCTGCGATTTTAGGTGCGATTTTCTTCTTCTGCTTGATGTGAACGAGTAGATAAGTCAATTTAGTCATGAATGTTCACATTGCTGTACATGTACTCCGAACATTCGCGACTCCTCTACTCGTTCACATGCATCAGAAGGAGAAAATCGCATTAGAAATCGCAGCAAAAATTGCAAGTGTAAACAGGCCTTTATAGGTAGACAAAAGATTTATCACGTTGTTCTTACTATGTTTGGCATCTGTGTCAATGCCAAATTGCTTTTAAACGAGAAAAGCTTAACTTTTAAAGTGTGATAACCATAGACTATTACGATATGATGGTCTGGAAACCAGGCAAACTTCAAAGCTACAGAATAGAAGACCTTTCTTTTATGTTGAACTACAATTCTTCACCGTGCTCAAATCCTTTGTCTCAACTTCATTAAATATTATTCATCATGGCTGCACTTTC